TATGCGCATTCCTCCCCGCCCTCCTCTTCAAAAGTATTCAGTTTTCGATTCATCTGCGCATGGATTAGGCGTTGCTTAGTTTCACTCTTAATAATGAATCCATTCAAAGAGATATTCCTCTTTACACATGCACACATCGAAGCGAGGGAATATTTCCCTAAGCCATGTTTCATCAGAAATTTCTGAAAATGATATTTTTTCTTTCTTTCTTTCAGATGAAGGTTTAACTCGTACATTTTAGCAAATGTTTTATTCCTTTTATTCAATGGGTAAATTATTTCTCTAAGTGTTCAATTGAAATGATTCACTTTTCTAAGCCTTACTTCGCATGGTGAGGCTTGTTTAATTGATGTATTATTAATACGATCTCCATAAGATTATGAGATTGATTCGTACAATGTTCTTTTTGGACTCACCGAATTTTTCTTAGCGAAAATACAGTGAAATGTTAACTAACTTAAAACTGATAAAACATTCAGGTTTTTATTTTCTGATAACCTAGGTAGGGCTGCTATGTTGACCTCACAGCAGCATATGGCCACATAAATAGAAATGAAGTCCGTAGATTAGAAGGGTTGAAACGTTGTGATAATAAGAACAAAGTTGAGAACAATGGATCACATGTAATTAATTTAAATAATGATAACTCCATGCATCAGATAAAATATTATTTGTAAGCATATCTGATAAAAATAACGTTTAACACGGGTATCCTACTCGTAAGGGATTGGTTAGTTAGTTAGATGATCTTGTTTAGCGGCATATCAATCTTTATGGCTTATTTAAAATAAATCTGAATATATTGAACACAATGGCTTCAACTATAGATAAAACGTATTGTTGGTAATTCTATTTTAACATCTATTGTTTGTAATTCTACTATAAAATGTATTGTTGGTCATTTTCTGTAAAATGTATTGTTTGTAATTCTACTATAAAATGTATTGTTGGTCAGTTTGCACTAAAATGTATTCTTTGTAATTCTGCTATAAAATATATTGTGGGTCATTATGCAATAAAATGTATTGTTTGTAATTCTACTATAAAATGCATTGTTAGTTATTTTGCGATAAAATATATTCTTTGTAATTCTACTATAAAATGCATTATTAGTCATTTAATCGATAAAATTATTCTTTAATTCTACTATAAAATGCATTGTTAGTTTTTACTTAAAATATATTCTTTGTAATTCTACTATAAAATGCATTGTTAGTCATTTTGCGATAAAATATATTATTGGTAATTCTACTATAAAATGCATTGTTAGTCATTTTTGCTATAAAATGTATCGTTGGTAATTCTACTATAAAATATATTCTTGGTAATTTTCCTCTAAAATGTATTATTGGTAATTCTACTATAATATGTTTTGTTTGTCATTTTTTATAAAATGTATCGTCATTAATTCTTTAATAATTAAAATGTTGTTGGTCATTTTGCGATAAAATGTATTGTTTGTAATTCTACTATAAATTGTATTGTTAGTCATTTTGTTATAAAATGTATTGTCGGCCATTTTGCTATAAAATGTATCGTTGGTCATTTTGCAATAAAATGTATTTTTAGTCATTCTGGTTCAAAAATATATTGTTAATTTTGCTATAAATGTTTCTTATTGGTATTTTATTTTATATAAAAATTTTATTGCTGGCATCTACACTATAAAATCGTATTTTTTATACTTTCATAGTGTTCTTTTATGTGGTTTCAATATTTTTCCATAGATGGGACTCTAACAGGATCTACCCCCCCACCCAGGTAAGGGTGGACCAGGGATCGACAACAATGAAGTGGTTCCATACTCATCAAAACATTTAATCTCCCGATCAGAGGACTTGCTGCCGGATGTAGCTTTTAAGTATGTATTTTTTTTTTTAAGAAATACAAGAAAAGATAAATTAAATTTAAAATCCAATTCGAAATTGTTTAAGCAACAAATCCCAGTGTAGCTTTTAATGTATAATTGCAAAGCAAGCTAAAATTATTTTAAAACCCTTCCGTTAATCAATGGCTTTGAGCAAGCACTTTTGAAAATTGCCAAATTTTAGAAAAACAGCTGAAAACAGTTTCCCTTATTTATTTATTGTAATATAATTATAAGGTAAATCATATTTTTAAAAACTGCACTGAATTGACATCGATATTAACGACCACCTTCGGAGGCATTTAATTAATCGAACTTATAATTTTTCTTAAATAAATATTTATTTAAAATAAATATTTAATTTCTTCTCTCGCACTTTTCGACTGTGGAAACTATTTTCCAGCTTCTTGTCAACTCAGTCAGTTAAGTGTCATATGTGATGCAAGGTTGGGAAATCATTTCTTTTTCGATTTATGACTGAATAAAGGAGATATTCCCACAGTAAGCTGCCGTTTTTTTGTGGGGGGGTTTGTTTTTTTCTGCAGTAGACTGGTTACTAACTAATACTATTAGATCCAATTTCTCCTTCTGTTCAACCGATAGCTGGAAAGCAGAGATGGTTTCGTTTCCCAAGAGTATTTCCGTATAAGTGAATTTAACGAATCCAACTGGTATTGGAACTCGGCTCTTCCATTTCTTATTTCGAAGCGATATCCATTAATGATGATGATGATGGAATTACATTTTTTTTCTTGGTGTCTATGATCCTCAAAATTGTAAATGCAACACCAATCGCTATCTTTTGTCACCTTGAATCCTCAAATCATTTTTTTTTTTTTTTCCTTTTTCTTTCAAACGATCTTGTCTCATTTTTTCATTAACTAACCTTTTTTTTCTTAGTGGCATTATCTCCTTAAATGATTAAAAACAGATAAGTTTATATAAATAATTACGAAGCTTGGTATATCACAAGTACAGTTCTGACATACTCGAAAGTGATAATAATCCAAAATTCTTTTGTGTACTACATGTCTTCAGGATTATGGGGGGGTCATTGTTATCTACAACTTCCTGTCTTTTGTTCCTCTAAATAACCTTTCACACTTTAACATCTCTCTTTGGCACTACAGTATCCCATATAACATAGACCACATCACCTGAGGACTACCAACAGCAGTAACCTCTAAAATGGATAGCACATTTAACTCGAAGAGAAAATAATTTACATAATCAAGATTTTGACATTCCACACCACTTCAAACAAAAGGTTAGGAAGGAAATCCTCATGTATAATAGAAAGAGTGTTAACAGCTACTGAACTTGAGAAACCATTTTTCCTTATTTTATTTTTTAAGAGAAACATTTTATGTATCCCAAAGGAAATTGCTTGGTCAATGAATGCCAAATGTTTCCTTATAGGGAAACGGTTAATATTACCATTGCTATTTGTACATGTTCTGTCGTTCAATTGCACAAACTCGTTAAATTAGTCATTCGTTGTCGCACACTATTTCTCTTGTCTTCAATATATCTAATAATTTTATCTATATAAGCCCTAAATTCGCCAATCCATCTTTCATCCTTATGTCCTCCAGAGATTTCAACTCTCTCTTCTTAATTGTTTAATTGTTTAATTGCCATTTTCCTTGAGAAAGTCCCTCAGAGGACGGCTAATAGTAGTTTTTCTTTTTGTCTTTCTTACTTATTGATCGTCTTTCTCTTTCGACTTCCTTCTTACTCACATGTTCTGTCTATGATATTTTCAGCATTCATTGGCAGAAACACATCTGTGTAGATTCGGGTATCTTCTGCGTCTGTGAAAAGATCGTCCAGCATTCACTGCTCTGCAGAATAAATCGTTTTGTACCCTCAGGTTTCAATAAAAACAGTTTTTTTCTAAGCGGCGGACTGTACATATATATATATATATATATATATATATATATATATATATATATATATATATATATATATAATAATAATAATAAAAAAATAATAATGGACTCTCCCGTCGGTTTCGACGTATGAGGGTCTGACAGCTTATTGATTCAGTTATGATATTTTATGCGATAATCTTAAGTGGCATTTAAGACCAGCTAGTGATTTACAAAGGAGGCCACATATGTAGCAAGTGTGAGGATTGTGAGATGAGATCACTGTTAGATTGGCTGACCTTTTATATCTTGCTCTCGCTTCTTGAAGATGATTCAGACAAGCAGATTGAAAATATATATATATATATATATATATATATATATATATATATATATATATATATATATATATATATGTGTGTGTGTGTGTGTGTGTGTGTGTATTTATATATAATCCTTCTTTCATACACATTTCATTGAATACGACAGACAAAGTGCTTTTTATTTAGTTTTTTATAATTTCTTATGCGATCTAATAATTTTTTTTTTTTCGGATGATAAATTATATAAAAACAGTCCGAATGTTCTTTTTATCCAAGCGCTTTTCGGCTATACATTTAGCCATTTTCAAGGATTAAATATTTTAACTGTTAAATAAGAAATAATTTGTTGTATGTATGCTTTATAAAATGTTTTCATTTTTCAAAACACGGTCAATATATTGTGCCCATGTTCAAAGTTAATATTATTAAGTGTTGCTTTTTTTTCTGTTTTTATTAATAAGGCTTCCATTGTTATTATTTAACAGTTAAAATATTTAATCCTTGAAAATGGCTAAACAAGAATTATTGATGGGGTGGAATATCTGAGGAGATTTGAATAATGCTTAGTTTATTTAGATGTTGCTGAGTAGGACTAATATTTCCATAGAAGCCATTTTAAAAATATAATGGATACCATTTTTTTCTTGGAAAGATATTAATCGTTTAAATAGGTTTTCAGCTATTTTTTCCCAATTCATGCATTTTTGATGATTTGCCGGGCAATATCTGATTAAGAACCAAGAAAGAGGCCAGTTTTGATGAAAACTGTTTTTTTTTTTTTTCTGTTATCATATCAGAGTTGTAATAATTATTAACATGGCTCTGGGTAAAATATTACTCATAACGTGAAAAGGCATAAAAGTTTTAATTGGAAAAAAAAGGAATACCATAGCAATGAAAAACTAATATATCACGATAGCTTAACTCAGAAATACTTATGGCCATATCACGTTGAAACACTGGTTCCGGTATGATCACTGAAGTTAAGTATCTTCGAGCCTGGCTAGTAATCAGATGAGTGAGCGTTCTTGGATGTGCGGGTGATGTAATGCATAATGACTCGGAATTGTTAATCAGAGAGTTGAGTTCCACTTCCAGTTGGGTTCGTTATCTTCACTTACGTGCAAATACTCTTGTTATGAATCTAGCTCTTCTCCTCCCAGCTATGGATTAATTAGTATTGTAATTGAGTCATACAAAGACAACAGTAGAAAACCAGAATTGGTTTAACAACAAATTTATTACCTTTTGGTACGGGGAAGCATAATATAGAATAGAAATGAGGGAAGAGAATGTTTAGACGTGAATTACTGTTTTCAGCAGGAGCTACTACTGTTACTGCTTCTGCTGCTACTCCTCTTGACGTCGGAGTATTTTTATGCCTTTCGTTCGATGACCCAGTCTAAACTTTCAGGGAAATATACTTCCTTACACCAATTAGTAAACTTTCTGTCACTAAACTATTATCTTCAAAAATAAAATAAAATTTTCTACAAAAAAATGTTTAGTTTTCGATTTTAAATCGCCTATGCAGGTTGATTTGCTGCTAGACAAAAACAACCATTAACTAAGAAACAGGGTTCAATCCGAAAAAAAATGTTTTTTGATGAAAAATGTTTGTCAAAAAAGAATATGATCAGGTTTGTTAAAGAGTGTTGAAGAAATATAGTACTAATCATAAAAAAACCCATTGTAATTAGTCATGTTGACATCAGATTTTATTATAGAATGTGGTTGTTGAGAGAGAAAATTAAAATTCTCTTGAAATATTTGAAATACCTCCCTACAAAATGGCTACGTTAATGGTCATCAATAACACCAACTAAATATTCTAAATTTTTCTTTTTCTTTTTTTTTTTTGTATAATACCAACAAGACTTTTGAACACGTGTATATCGCCATCACAAAAGATCACAAATACAGTTAAAAAAACAGACTGTGTGAATAGATATCCATTAATTGTGTTAATAAATAAAGGGTAATATACCATCACGAGATCCTTTTCAGCATTATGTTCTAAACCAGTAATTCTCAATGTGGTCCAGGTGGACCACCGGTGGTTCACATAGCATTTCTATTGGTCCATATAGCATTTCTATTGGTCCACATAGCATTTCTAGTGGTCCACCGAGAATTTGTAACCATAAAAAATTGTAGCCATTTCACAATAATGTATCTAAATTATTCATAATTTATTTAATATAATATTTTGCTTAATTACACAAATGTCCATTATATTTGAAATTTTCGAAATTATGTAGGTATTATGCAGTGTTATATTTATTTTATTTTTTTTATATATATATTTATTAAATATACATAAAATGTTATATATACCATATATAGTATAGATTTTTATTCATATAAAAAATTATTCCTATGTTAATAGATCACTACACAATATTGTTTGATAATAAATTTGATATTTCTAATTTATAGAAATAAAGTATTTATTATTTATATTATGTCTTCATTTCAGTTGTAAGAATGTCTGAACTGCTAAAAAGGCAAAACTGGAGAATTCCAGAGAGGATTTTATCATGTTTGGCTTTGTATCTGTAGACTCAAAACCTATGTGTCTTGAATGTGGTGCCACCTTGACAAATGATTCCATGAAGAAAGTTAAGCTGGAGCAACACCAAAAACCAAAGCGTCCATCATCTGTTGGTAAAGATAGCTATTTTGAGAATAAAAAGAAAAGACAGCCCAGTCAAACTATCCGACATTGTAAAGAAGACGAATACTAAAAAACCAAAGATACTCAACCCAAGTTATTTGCTCTCTGAAATTATTGCCAGGTTTGGGGTACCTCAGGTTTATGGTGAGAAGATTTTCAACCCTGCTATGATAGCTTGTGCAAATGAGGTTCTGGGAAAAAAATCTGCATCTACCCTGAGTACAATTCCACTTTCAAATGATAGAAGACAGGATGAAATGTCTAATTTTGTTGAGAAGATGGCGGAAGTTCTGCAAAAGAAAGTTTTCTATCCAAGTTGATGAGTGCACAATTTATAAACTGTTGTTCATGATGACGATCGTCTTTGAGTATAGAATCCAGAGGTTAGCAGTGAATATTTCGAAGACAGTAGGGAAGCGTTGTTCAGGTTAGCAGTGGATATCCCGGTAAAAGTAGCAGAGCGTAGTTCAGTAGTTCTTCCTTCTGTTCTTTCGCCTGACAAGTTGGCACTGGACATTCGGAGAGAGTAAACAAAATGGCCGCCTTTATACACGACGGATTGAATATTTTACGTCTTCTGATTGGTTAACCTTCTATTGGTAGACTATAAAGTGAGTCAAGTTATTTGGGCTCACTCACTAGTAAACATACCCAAAAAACTGCAACATAAAGAAGCTATCCTTCTAGTCTATGTCAGATTCATTCATGAAGATGATATAAGAAAAGAAATTTTATTCATTAAAGGTTTGCCTGGAACTGCAAATGGAGAGGATATATCCAATGAAGTAATGCAGTATTTTTGATAAAAATATTCAATTGACTAATTTGATCAACATTGCATCAGATGGAGCTGATGTCACGATGGAAAAAGTGAAAGGCTTTGTTTCTAGAATGAAATCAGTTGCTCCTCACATCTTTTATATCCATTGCATTATCCACAGACAGCTTTTGGTTGCTAAGAATATTGGAGGAGACACGCAAGAAGCACTCAACACTGCCATACTTGCAATTAACTTTGTTAAAACAAACTCAATGAATGGTAGATCTTCTTGTGCAGTTCTGTGAAGATGACAATTTTAAAATCCTATTGCTTCACAGAGAAGTAAGATGGTTGTCAAAAGACCTGAGCCTGAAAGACTAGTGAATTTGTTGGAACCATTAATCAAATTTCTCATGTTCCCAAATGATTCATTACATCTCCAAGAAGCAAGAAATTTTGGAAAGACTTCCTGACTTCACATCAAAAATATTCTACTCGAGTGATATTTTTAAAACAGTGAATCTGCTTAATTTGTAGATGCAAGGTAGATCAGATTTAGTCACCTGTGCTCAAAAGATAAAAGGCTATATGGGAAAGTCGAAATTTTGGAAAAAACAGTTTGAAAAAAAAAATTGGTATCATTTCAACACCACTGCTCCTAAATCAGAATGCATTGTTGCATGCATTTCCCATCTTAAAGGTCTGCATGTAGACCTTGAGAAAAGATACAATGATCTATTAAAGATGGATTATCCACTCTGGTTTGTAGACCTAAAAAAATATGAGCCAGAAGATGAAAATGTTGAGTTGGCTGAAATGTTGAGTTGGCTGAAATGTTGCTTGACTGGGTGTTCCGTTGCTTAAAAAGGGTGAAAACCACTAGACTAAAGAACGATTTTCTAAGCGTAGCTTTGTTGTGGCACAAGGCCGAAATGATGAGGCCCCCAATGAGGATCAAACTCACTATTCAGTCGTAACTTATCTAGTGAGACAAGCTCTAAACAATAGCATTTTAGCTAAAAGCCTTTAACAATTAACTATTTTTTCATATGAAATACGTAAAACCTCTGGTACATTCTCTTATCGCTGGACAGAGACTAAAAAATAAATAAATTGTGGTCGAAAAGTCTTGTCACCCCCTACCAAAAGGTAACGAGAACAACAAGTAATAAAGTAACACAAAGCACATGTACTGGATTCAGTTTATTCATTTACATTGACTCTGTTCCAATCCTCGAATGAACTATATCATCGAACAACTCATTCGACCCCAAGGGCCGGATCGTGTTATAATGACGGGTCGCGGGCCGGACGAAAAGAAATTAATGAAAAATTAAGGAAAATTACATATGCAGACCCCTGTCAACCTAAATATTTAAAACCATAATGAAAATAAACATTGAGAAATCAGAAAAAAAAAGAAAATCTAAAATTAAAAAACACCTAACAAAAATTACTTTTCCTCAAGGAACGACAAAATACTTCAAAGTGAAAAAAATCAACCAAAGTGAAATGGATGAAATTATGACGTGTAGGTTTGGAACTGTTATTGAAAATTGTTCCACAAACGAAACACACACACACACACATCAAACAAAAACGAAGTTCATATACCCATACATACGAGTACAAATAGTTGCAAACATATACACTTACGTACGTACACATGCGGTATCATCCACACATTCATGAGGCATGTATGTGTAATGCGCGTATGTTTAACTGTCTTTAGATTTCTGCTACCTCGCATGTCAGTCCCTCCCTGGCCTCTTTCACTTTATCGTTCCTTTTGTTTCTGTTATGTTTTAATGTAGCCAAGGGTCATAACAAATATGTATCCATTATTTGACATTAAACGTAGCCAACGCAACTTGGTAAAATAAGACTCATGAAAGATAACTGGCAGATAGTCTAATATTTTTAGTGCACTGAGATGTGTAGACATTCTATGGAAAATGACATATAACAGATTTCATTTGAAGGTCGTCTCTCATGTTAAAAATAGAGTCAGTGGTAAAAATAAATGCCTTCGCGGGCCGTAGGTTGCCAGCCTTTGCTCTATATGAACCCTATCATTTTCGTGGCAGACATCTGAAACAGAAAATTACCGTATTTTCCGGCCTACAAGATGTATTTTTTTCCTAAAAAATACCCTGAAAAGTACGTGTGCATCTTCCAAGATGCATGTAAGATAACGTCCATGCTCAAGTAAGCTTGGACGGTCACCTAATTGACTTGGATTTGTATGTTGTCATTAGACTATAATGTTAGCTATCTAATTCAGCCTTTTATATGATGTAACCTCGGTACTTAGCTGTTACAAGTATTTTCAAGACTATAAACCTTCCTGGAGCCGAGTCACAAGCTTAAACACGTTCTGCTTACGAGCAGCGGCAGGTGCCGTTCTGCTTTTGACAAGTATGTCATTGGCATACAAACAAAATAGGACGAGTGATTAATGGAAACAATACGTGGCACCAATAAATGAAGGACGCATAGTGAATGCGTTGTTGTATGAGAAAGACTTTTTTCTTAGGAATTTATTTCCAATATTATGGTGCGTCTTCCAAGCTGCAGTGTCTTGCAAGACAGGAATACATTTTATATTATTT